CGACCTGGGCCGGAACCAGCCCAGGGGCCGTAGGTTGCCGGCCCCTGGCTTAGACTGTTGATAGTCCCTCCTATTTTCAATCCTCCTTCTTCTGTGTCCAAGCTTTGTCTGACCTCTTTGCCATTTGGGAACCATTCTGTTTCTCCATCTTCTGTTCTGACAGTAGCTTTTTGTCCTGAGTATAGACTCCTCATCAGGACCATCAGATGTATTGGCACTCCCATGTTTTAAGGGCGTTCCATAGCCTTTCATGGTCTGTGCAGTCAAAAGATTTACTATAGTCTCTAAAGCACATGTTGATTTTCTTTTTAAATTCCCTGGTGTGCTCCATTAGCCATTGTATGTTTGCAATGTGATCCCTAGTGCCTCTTCCTTTCCTGAACCCTGCTTGGACCTCTGGAATCCGTGTTGTGCACTGTTGTATTCACATGGTAGTAATGGCCACAGGACTGGCTTCACTCTCTTTTACTCTTTGCTTCCCTTCCCACAACATGCAGAGTGTGGGGTGAGAGGAGGCAAGGAGAGAGACCATCTCCTTATAGCCCCTAAGTCAACAGAGCATTCTCATCTGCACTAATTTTCTAGATATCCTCAGCCTTCAGAATTATTTATATTTTGCCAAGATTCCTAGTAGGGATACACAAAATGAAAGTGAGATAGCACTATCTGGCAACACACTTGATTTAAATTTCATGCATTTAAAATAATTGTACTGTCTTCTTGGTGTAATTCTGAGCTAAACAATTTAAACTTGAAAGGTGTCTCACTACTATAACAGATGCTTGAAACTGTCAGTTTTGGTGTATCCCACATCTGAATTTTTCTAATCTCAAATTGTTCTCATCCTCTGTATGAAGAAGGGGCAATTTGGGGGTATTTGGGGGCAATTTATTTTTATTTTTCAGGAGTGGCTGCAGTGTGGGGAGTGCAGACATTCATGGTCTCTTGGGGACTAATGCAGCCCCCGAGCCTCCCAAGGTGTCCTACCCCTGCTGTGAAGCATGGTTTACAAATCGTGGCTTGAAAAAGGAAACTTTATTGATGATTTATGGGTGGAATAGGTATTTTGTAGCAGGGGAAAGTGTCTACGTGTCTTTTTCCTGATGGAGATCAACATCTCCCTGTAGCAGGTGATGGAGAAGGTTCCCTTCCAACAGATCCCACCCAGACTACCCCAAGGCCACTATTTGACCCTCCAGAGTGAGATAAAAAGATGATTTTAAGGCCAAAAAATTTAAGTAGTGGAATTCTAAGCAACAACAATAGGTGTGGCCTATTTCTATATTCTACAAGCTTTTGGAACAACAGAAAACAAACACCTCCTTCCCCAAAACAGACAGCTAATAAAAGATTCCCTCCTCCACATCACACTCAAATAGGCTGAAGGTGGGACCATGTTGGCTGTGATATTCTCAAAGAAATCAAATAATCTTTTGCTCTTACCACATGGATAGCCAAGATGAAATATTGTGAGATCTATAGCAAGTCCAAAATAGCCCATTCCATGCTAATGGACAGCTGTAGAAAAGTTTTCCCTATGCTGGCCATGTGTTCCATAAACTTTCTGCTGTATTGTATGTATTTACATTTGACAAATCACTGGAAGATCTCAACTAAAATACTTTTTAAAATTGTCTTTTCAAGGCAAAATACGTGAAAGAGAACAAGTTTGGAGGCGCCATGGTTTGGGCCATAGATTTGGACGACTTCCTAGGGACATTTTGTAATCAAGGAAAATACCCTTTGGTAAACGAACTAAAGAGATTGCTTGAAACAAATGGTAAGAGAGTACAGCAGAAATCTGTATTTTAAATAATTTTGGAAAATGAAGGGACAATCCAATATTCATTTTACTGGGACTATCTTCAGCTGAACTCAATGGGCTCCTCATTCTGAATAGACAGCCATTCAACAGAGTGCCACTGTTTCAAAGCAGCAGAATTTTGGTGCCATGAAAAGTTAGTAAATTGTTAGTGGATTTGTTCTCTTATTGGGTCATACTTGGGGCAGAGCCACTGAAACCAAAATAACTAAAGTTACTCATTGTAGACCTGTTGTCAGAGAAGTACATGTGGTATATTGCCAGAGAAATACACCTGCTATAGCTCAGCTTCAGCTTGATGGGATATGATACATGGACTCTTATCATCTTATCCTTATATTTTGTTTTGTTTTGTTTTGTTTGGTGCTCCAAGAGAAGCAAGGAAACCTAGTGGGCTGGGGGTGCAGGGAGAATGAAGTCATAGGTGTTTGACCTCTCTGCTCTACCATGCCTTCTGTGTCCCTAGACCAGCAAAGATGCACATAATAAGCTGCTTGACAGTTTGAAAGCAATATAGCCCAGCTCTTGTAATATGATAAATTTCACCTTTTCAAAAATTTGTTGATGATGGTCTTTTCTGGTTGTTGTTTGGTAGAACTGTTATTTCATTATGGGAAGTCAGTACTACAACATAATAATTATATTAGAGGCTTTAGGTCCAAAACACACTACAGAAATAATCCAGTTTGAGACTGCTTGATTGTCCTGGCTTAATGCTAGGAAATCCTGGGAACTGTAGTTTTGTGAGACATTTAGCCTTCTCTGTCAGAGAGCTCTGTCATCACAATAAACTACAATTTTCAGGATTCCCTATCCAGGCAGTTAAAGCTGTCTCAAACTGGATTATTTCTGCAGTTTGTTTCGGACCTTAGTTTCCAAGGTTATGTTCCATGATTCTGCTCCAGACCCCCCCCCCATTAGAAAACTGGGCAAAACTTTGCTGGCAAATCTTTCTAAAGCATCATTTATAACACCATTGTGCATTTAAATACCCCCAGTATCTCACAAAATATTTTAATTGGTATAAAAACTGAATGAAAACTGTTAAAAAATGTGTAAGTAAAAACTGGAAGTGACTCTTTCAGCCTGCTATGTGCCTGTGTGTGTGCATGCATGTCTCTATGTGTTCCTACTGTGTTTGCTCACTCCTGCCTTAAGTGAACAGAGAAGAATGATAATTACACATCTGTTAGCATTAGTTTGCATTTTAAAGTACTGCTTGATTTTGTTTCAGACACCATTGTGCCAGACTGCCCTCCAGTTAAACCTCCAGTTGATCCTCCAGTTACGCCATCAATTGATCCTCCAGTTGAACCTCCAGTTGAACCTCCAGTTACCCCTCCAGTTGAACCTCCGGTTGAACCTCCAGTTGAACCTCCAGTTACCCCTTCAGTTGATCCTCCAGTGGATTCAGGAGATCCAACGTTTTGTGTTGGGAAAGTTGACGGAATCCATCCAGATCCCAAAGACAAGACAAAATTCTACATTTGTGTAGGAGACCGCACTTTTCAGTTCAGTTGTGCAGCTGGCTTAGTCTTCAATGACAGCTGCAATTGCTGTGACTACCCACATACCATTTAAAATGAAACATTACAATGAAACAATGCTGGGGAAATCCCTTCTCCTCCTCCATAAAACAATCATGGTGTTGGGTTTAGAAGGAAAACAAATGATTGCTCAGCACTCAGCCATTGTACAGAAC